TCGGTATTAATATCCTCATTGTACTGAACATGAAACCAAGGAGCTGAGAGATGTCGGTAATTAGCTAAAGTCCCTGTCTTAGAAGTTCAGAATTGGGGCTACAACAGGGGTGCTCTTATCCCCGTGCTGTGCTGCCCATTTAGCCCAGTCACCCACAGGAGCCACAGTTTCCTGGACTTTGGGGAGGAACCAAGTTTGAGACAGAATAATAGGAACCTCAATTAAGTACTTCCACCATGAGGACAGGGACTTTGTCAGTACCCTCTAAACCAGACTGAACCTGGCTCATGGAAGGCACTTCGTAAGGACATAGGGAGCCCACTTGTGTTTGGATAGTGACTAAAACGCACTATCTCATCTAGCTCACAATGACCATGGGAGGTAGTAAGGGAAAAGTCTTACCTTTTATTTATGAATCCCTTGTAGCTCAGCTGGTAAAGAATCCGCCTGCAATGTGGGAGACGTGGGTTCGATCCCTGGGTTGGGAAGATCCCCTGGAGAAGGGAAAGCCTACTGACTCCAGTATTCTGGCCTGGAGAATTCCAGGCTACAGTCCATGGGATCACAGAGTTGAACAGGACTGAATGACTAAAACTTTCACTTTAATTGCCATGGTAATAACTTAGTGGTTGAAACTTCTGGAAGCAGGGACCATTTTCTATTCTTTTTGTGTCCTTTTCCCCACAGTGCAGAGAGAGGACATTTCTACGAGCACAGAAAGTTCTATCAGACATCGCTGCCCTAGAGGCAGGGAGATGCCAGTGGGTGATAATCTAACATAATGCCCTACTTCACAGCGAGAAGTAGAATTTAATAATGTTTTAATGAATAAATGAATGAATACCATAATGGAAGTGTTTTCTTAATATGACTAAGCTAATTACACTGATCAGTTATAGGTTGAATTTGGGCTTTCCAGGGTAGCTGATTCCACTTTTCAAAATGAATTATCAAAAAGAGCAAAACAACTCATTTCTTAAAGATGTCAAAATGTAATTTTAAATGCCATGCTAAGCAATGGAAAGACATTGGAGTGGGTTAGTCAATGATTACTGCTATTTAACAGAAATTTAAAAACAAGGCAAGAGCAATGTTTGTACCATTATGACATTTAAATAGTTAAAAGCAACTCTACTTAGATAATGAATTAATTCATATTTACTGATAAAATACTTCATTTATTTTCTATCATTTTCATGCAGCTTGAAGTATGTTATAATTATTGTTTTAATTAATATCATGTCATCTATCAGCACCCAGAGGTTGTCATTGCTTTTTCAAAAAACGACAGAGAAATGAAAAAATGGTGAGGTTTTTATTGGACTATGATACCAAGCCAGCAAGTGTGATATCCCAAGTTCCTTTTTCTTGTCCCATAACCCTTTAACCTACACTGTTGGAGCAACTTGGAAAAAAGGGGGAAAAAAAAAGAATTATAAAACAGATGCCAGAAAGTGTAGATTATCTTAAATTTCTAGGTGCCCTAAACTACTCAGCCTCTTAGGGAAGAAGTGCCTTCTGTTGGTCTATGAGACTGTCTGTCCTTAACTGAGACTTATCTAATAAAGTTCAGGGAAGGGCCATATCTCCAGTGTAAAGTGGCCCATTCATTCATTTATTGTGTATCTGTAAGTGCCAGGCAAAACATAATTCCTGAATGATGAATGCCATCCTGATGAATGCCACACAATTCCTTTTTGCAAGGAACTGTTGGGCTACTGGGAACTCAGATGTGTAGACTGACAATAACCAGCAAGTGCAACCAGCGCTATAATGGGGTAAGCAGGAGTGTTTATGAAAGCCACACCATTTGGTTTGGGGGATGAGAAAAGATCTTCCATGAAAATAGGAAGAAATCATGTCATGAAGCCCCTTCTCCAGGGGATCTTCCCAACTCAGGGATCGAACCTAGGTCTCCCGCATTGCAGGCAGATTCTTTACCAGCTGAGCCACCAGGGAAGCCCAAGAATACTGGAGTGGGTAGCCTATCCCTTCTCCAGGGGATCTTCCTGACTCGGGAATTGAACTGGGGTCTCGTGCATTGCAAGCGGATTCTTTACCAACTGAGCTATCAGGGAAGCCCAAGAATACTGGAGTGGGTAGCCTACCCCTTCTCCAGGGGATCTTCCCGACTCGGGAATTGAACTGGGGTCTCCTGCATTACAGGCGAATTCTTTACCAACTGAGCTCTCAGGGAAGCCCCATGAAGCCTAGGTAAGGGTTATTCAGGTGAAGAGAGAGGAAAAGAAAGTACAAGAAAGAGAGTATGTCTTGATTGAAGAACTATAAAAAGGATGGTTGCATTAAAGCATAGAGATTCCAGAGGGCCACAGGGGGTGGTGTGGTAGAAGCTATGCTGTCCAATATGGTAGCCAAGAGACACATGTGGCTAATTCATATTAACTTAAAATTAATTAAAAGTAAATAAAATTAGAAATGCAGTCCCTCAATTGCATTAGCCATATTTAAAGAGATCAATAGTCAGTTTTGGACAGTGTTGAACAGTGCAGATCTGAACTATTTCCATCATCATAGAAAGTTCTACTGGATGGTGCTTCTCTAGAAGTAAGCAGGGGCCAATCAGTGATGAACTTTGAATGACCAGCAAAGATGTTCGGACCTTACTCCGAGGACAATGAGATGCCACTGAAGTATTCTATATATGGAAGTAGAGTGATCAAGTTTATATATTAGCAAAGATATTCTGCAGGGCACAAAAAGGATTAGAGAGAGGCAGACCAGTAAAAAGCATATTTCATTCATCAGGGAAAGAGATGATAGGTTCCTAGAATAGGTAGCATAATAGAGAAGTGTGTGGATTCAGGAAATATTAAGGAAAACAATCAGTAGGACTTAATGGTTTAGATGTGGAGGGTGAGGAAGGCAGATGTGAAGTTTGATCTCTGGCTTGGGCAGCCAGGGAATGATGGTACCATTGACCTAGACAGGAAACAAGGAAGAGGAAGGAATAGATCTAAGGAGGAGAGATGATAAATTCAACTATGTCCTTGAATGCAAAATGAACAACGAGGCATCCAAGTGAGCTTACAGGAAGCATTTAGATAGTCAAATCTGACCCTCAGGAGAGAAAATCTGGGCTGGCGATAAATATTATGAAGCTATCACCACATGGATGACATTGAAAGCCATGGAAACAAATGAGACGTCTGAGGAAGAGAGTGTGGAATGAGATGCTAAGAAGGACAGGGACTGAACACTGACAGTGATGAGACCAGCCGAGAAAGACGGGTCCAGAGTAGAAGCCAGGAAGGCATAAAGAGGACCAGGAGACCAGAAGGGATCTAGGTGAAGGGAACATGGTAGGAAAAAGGAGTGGTCATCATGTCAAATGCTACACAGAGGACAATATAACTGGAGTTGAACAGTGTTGTTACGGTTTTGCAGGACAGAGGTCATTGGTGTTTGGTGAATGCATTTTACCAGAGGAATGATGGGGGCAGAGGGTGGGTTGAAGAGTGAATGGGATTTGAAGAAGTGAAAGCAAACATAAACAAGTCTAAAACTGGTGAAAGAATTAGAGACGGCTGGTAATAGATGTCTTCTCCATAACCATTGTACCATTTTCAAATGTCTACCTCATATTAGAGATATTTGTAAATTCTTTTATGCTTGGTACTCCTGAAAGCTTGTTGAAAGTCTGCTGCTGCTAAGTCACTTCAGTCATGTCCGACTCTGTGCGACCCCATCCCTGGGATTCTCAGATTTTCATTGTTCCTAGTAGTTCTAGTAGGTCCTAATAGTTCTTGTGTTTGGAAGATGCTCTATTGAGATTTACTTTCTAGATTTCAAATTAAAGGCTGTTATTGGCCTTAAATATATATAAAGTATGCAGTTTTTTTCTGAATGAATGAAAAGGTCTCAGTTCCAAGTGAGAAAAAGTTAATGCTGCTGCGGCTGCTAAGTCGCGTCAGTTGTGTCTGACTCTGTGCGACCCCGTAGACGGCAGCCCACCAGGCTCTGCCGTCCCTGGGATTCTCCAGGCAAGAACACGGGAGTGGGTTGCCATTTCCTCCTCCAATGCATTAAAGTGAAAAGGGAAAGTGAAGTTGCTCAGTCATGTCCAACTCAGCGACCCCATGGACTGCAGCCCACCAGGCTCCTCTGCCCATGGGATTTTCCAGGCAAGAGTACTGGAGTGGGGTGCCATTGCCTTCTCCAGAAAAAGATAATGACAAGCCCATAATTTAATAGAATCTCATTTTTTTCCTAATAGGAATGAATGTTATCTTTATTTATTAATTTGGAACTTTTTATTTCGTGTTGGGGTACAGCCGATTAACAAGGGGATGGTTCCAGGTGAACAGTGAGGGGACTCGGCCGTACATAGAAATGTCTCCATTCTCCCCTTCAGGCTTCCCTGGTGGCCCAGCAGGTGAAGAATCTGCCTGCCGTGCAGGAAACCCGAGTTCAATCCCTGCGTTGGGAAGATCCCCTGGAGAAGGGAAGGCTACCCACTGTTCTTGCCTAAAGAAGTCCATGGATAGAGGAACCTGGTAGGCCACAGTGTATGGGGCTGCAAAAAAGTCAGACACGACTAAGTGACGAACACATACACATGGTTCTCCCCCAATCCCACCTCCCATCCAGGCTGCCACTCAACACTGAGCAGATTTCCATGTGCTATGCAATAGATCCCTGTTGGTTATCCCTTTAAATATAGCAGAGTTTGAGATGGTCATGTATATACTGCTATATTTAAGAGAATCTCATATTTTCAGGAAATTCTGTGAATTATGGGGAAAATCCCCCCCCTCAAGAAAAAAGCCAGAAGAAATAGAAATAGGATGAATATGTTTTAATAAAAAATTTATTATGACTATTTACACCAGTTCCTTGATAAGCATATAAATGTAAACTTTTATGTTGGCATTATTCCACACATGACTTATCCAAATTCAGAGTTTGAGTGTACAGGTAGTGAGAAAATTTTATTATATTCACAGAATATACATACACGTGCATTCCAGATGTGTCCCTCCTTAAGCCAGTGGTATGGACACGGCCCCATTGGCCCTGCTTCTGCTTCGCAGGTGGACACTGGAATCGGTGATGTCATCCACGTGCTCCTCGCTCTTCTTTTCCTTTAGGCTGTTGATGAATCTGAGGGTAATTTCGTCCCACTCCTCAGGCAAGAGCATCAGCAGAAACCCAATGCAGATGATGATGGTAGCAGCCAGGCGGACGACATTGAATATTACCTCCTGCTTCAGGAGATCCACAGCTGGGGGGGCGGCAACAGCAAGTCAGTCAGCCTGTGATGGTTTCTAAGCTTCTCTGAAAACAAGTGACCCAAATCATTGCTACTTCTAGAAGATTTCCGAAAGTCTCTCTTGTTCTCACAAGCTTATCTTTCCTTTTTCTATGTCGTTATTGACATGGCTCTCTACATCTGCTTTCCATTTCTTTTCCCTAAATCATACTTAGCCTTCCAGGCAAATACCATCTGATTGAATAGCCTCTGCAATTTTAAAAAATAATTTTATTTTATATTGGATTATAGTTGATTAACAGTGTTTCAGGTTACAGTAAGGTGGTTTAGTCACACATATACATTTGTCTATTATTTTTCAAATTCTTGTCCCATTTAAGTTATTACAGAATATTAAGCAGAGTTCCCTGTGCTGTAACAGTCGGCCCTTGTTGAAGTGTATACATGAAGTTTTATTTCTTAATATCTTTCCTCTGTATTCCTTCATATTTCTCCAGTTTCACTGGCCCACTGAAGATTTTTTAAATGAACCAAGCTTATTAATGTTTAGGTCTTTGCAAATGCTAGTCTTTTAAAAATTTTTAGTTGCAGTGAAACTGATACAAATTAAAATTAACCACTTTCAAGTGAGTTTATTAGTATTTTGTACATTCATTTTGTATAGATTAATGTACCAGCTCCTCCATCTGGTGTAAAACGTTTTCATCATTTCAAAATAAAACCCCATACCCATTAAGCAGTTACTCCCCACTTGCCTACCCCCACCCCAACACCTGGAAACCACCAAACTGCTGTGTGTCTATGGATTTATCTGTTCTAGATATTTCTTATAAATTGAAATATATAATATTTGACATTTTATGTCTGGTTTCTTTTGATTAACATAATGTTTTTGAGGTTCAGCCACATCGTAGCATGTGTTAGCGCTTCATTCCTTTTTATGGCTGAATAATATCCCATTCTATCACAATTTGTTTATCGATTCATTTCTTGATGGACGTCTGGGTGTTTCCACATTTGGCTTTTGTCAATAGCGCTGAAGTGAACATCTCATACAGATATATTTTTGAGTCCCTGTTTTCAGTTTTAGGAGGCATGTATTTAAGTAGTAGAATCATGTACATGCTCTTCTCTTTGTATGGAACGTTCTTTCCTCCTGTACTCACTTCATCCAGCTGAACCCTCTGTTAAATTCCTCCTTTTACTCTCCTTGCAAGAAGCTGCCTTCAGTCCCCCTCCTGAGTGCTCTTAGAGCATTCAGTACATATCTCTGTCAAAGTCTTTCTCTCTCTACATTGTAATTACTGAGTTCCTTTTATCTCCCTTCTATACCACATGATCCTGAGGGCAGGGACTATGTCTTACTCAGGATCTATCACCAGTGTTAGCACAGTTGGTAGCATATACTAAGTACTCAGAAATTACTTATTAAATGAATGAATCCGTGGATGAATGAATGGAATTCCTTGACACTCCACTCCTCTTTGATATGACTTTCCCTTAAATATCTTATAGTCCTTGGAGTCTTTTACACAATTTGGCATTTAATGATAAGTTACTTTGTGGAGTTCTAAGTTATTTCATATAGTCAGTCTTGTTTCCCATATTCAGTGTGAGTTGTTTTTTTTTTCTCATAGCACTCCTTTTTTGGAGTTTAGTTTTACAATGTTGCGTTACTTGCTGTTGTACAGAAAAGTGAATCAGCTCTATATATACATATATCCCCTCTTTTTCACCACAGAGGATTAAGTAGAGCTCCCTGTGCTATACAGAAGGTTCTCATTAGTTATCTATTTTATACACGATAGTGTATATGTCAATTCCAATCTCCCAATTCATCCCACCCCTTCTTTCCGCTTTGGTGTACATACATTTGTTCTCTATATTTCTGTGTCTATTTCTGTTCATCTGTACCATTTTTCTAGATTCCACATATATGCATAAGCATTAATATATGATATTTTTTTTCTTTCTGACTTCTCTCTGTATTGCAGTCTCTAGGTCCATTTACATCTCTGCAAATGGCACTATTTCATTCCTTTTTATGGCTGAGTAATATTCTAGTATATATATGTGCCAAATCTTCTTTATCCATTCCTGTCCTGGTGATTCTACATACTACTGACATGAACACAGGCATGCATGTATCTTCTGTAATTATAGTTTTCTTTGGGTGTATGCCCAGGAGTGGGATTGCTGGGTCAATGATAGTACTATGTTTTTAAGGAGCCTCCATATTGTTCTCTGTAGTGGCTGTGTCAATTTACATTCCAACCAGTGGTATAGGAGGATTCCCTCTTCTCCACATCCTCTCCAGTATTTATTGTTTATAGATTTTTTTGATGATGCTCATTCTGACCAGTGTGAGGTGATGACTCATTTTAGTTTTGATTTGGATTTCTGTAATAATTAATTGTGTTGAGCATTTTTTCATGTGTCTCTTAGTCATCTGTAAAGTCTTCTTTGGAGAAATATCTATTTAGGTCTTTTTTTAATTGGGCTGTTTGTTTTTAGGGAATTGAGCCACATGAGCGGTTTATATATCTTGGAGATTAATCCCTTGCCAGTTGCTTCATTGGCAAATATTTTCTCCTATTCTGAGGGTTGTCTTTTCATCTTGTTTATGATTTCTTTTGCTGTGCAAAAGCTTTTAAGTTCAATAAGGTCCTATTTATTTTTGTTTTTATTTTCATTACTTTAGGGCCTAGGTCAAAAAAGTTCTTGCTATGATTTATGTCAAGGAGTGTTCTGCCTATGTTTTCCTCTAAGAGTTTTATAGTGTCTAGCCTTACATTTAGGTCTTTAATCCATTTAAAATTTATTTTTGTATGATGTTAAGGAGTGTTCTAATTTCATTCTTTTACGTGTAGTTGTTTAGTTTTCCCAGCACCACTTATTGAAGAGACTGTCTTCTCCATTGTATATTCTTGCCTTCTTTGTCATAGATTAGGTGACTGTAGGTGAATGGGTTTATTTCTGGGCTTTCTATTCTGTTCCATTGATCTATATTTCTGTTTTTGTGCCAGTACCATACCGTCTGTATACTGTAGTATACAGTGTAAGTTTGTTAAGGGACCAACACTATCTTTTCTCCCCCCACCCCACCCCTCCCCACCCCCGTCCCTTCTATAGTCATGATCACATAGTAAGTGTTCAATAAACATTTGCTGATTATCCTGGGACAAAGAAAGAAGGCTACCAAAGACTTGGAAACATAGAATTTTAAAATTAGAAGGACTATATAGTCATCCAAATACTTTACTTTCATTATTTGTTCCACTGACAGTTTTCACTAGAAAGATTTTCCTGGAAAAACAGCTTTTCCTCTTGTCCCTGAAGTGAGTCAAATTGCTTTTTTCCTGTATCTATTCCAGAGGGCCATCTGCTATGTCCCTAGGGGAAGCTTTCACAGCTCCCCATGGGTAGTCTGATGGGGAGCCAACACCCTGTACATTCCCTACACTTTCATTAGTGACGTTGACTTGAGAGTCCTGTGCTGGGATGCCTTTTGTTTCCATAGGACTTCCTCTAAAAATACCACAAAATTAGGTTGTCAGGGAGACTACATGAAACCCAAATGATACATTTGGTATTTAATTCTAAAAGCACGACCAAGTAAAAACTGTTTGTAGCTGCAATTTTTAAATCTGCTGCACAGTTATTCTGTTGTCTGCCACCTTCGAGATATTTAAAAACATGTTCCCAGGCAAGGGACACAATTCACAATTACTCAAAGAAATAACTTCGGGTGTGAAACACACACAAGCGGGGATCTTCCTGGGCACATGTCAGTTTGTACAGTACCTGCATTTCCAGGAACGCTGAGCACTGTCCCAATAGAGATGAGGATTGGGTATGTCAGCACCACACCAACATTCACCAGGATGTTGAAGGCTGCCAAATAGAGGAGGATGGTGGCTCAGATGCTAAAGAACCCACCTACAGTGCAGGAGCCCCAGGTTCGATCCCTAGGTTAGGAAGATGCCCTGGAGAAGGGAATGGCAGCCCACTCCAGTATTCTTGCCTCAAGAATTTCATGGACAGAGGAGCCTGGTGGGCTACAGTCTATCGGGTCACAAAGAGCTGGACATGACTGAGTGACTAACACACACACACATACAGGATAAAGGGGAACTGAGATGCTGGGCTCTTTCCTTCTTTTAACATTAAAGAATCAATGTCTGTGCTAAACATGCCTTCTAAATTATCTGTTCAGTTCAGTTCAGTCGCTCAGTCGTGTCCGACTCTTTGTGACCCCATGAACCGCAGCACACCAGGCCTCCCTGTCCATCACCAACTCCCAGAGTTTACCCAAACTCATGTCCATTGAGTCGGTGATGCCATCCAACCATCTCATCCTCTGTCGTCCCCTTCTCCTCCTGCCCTCAATCTTTCCCAGCATCAGGGTCTTTTCAAATGAGTAACATTGGTCAATTAATCCTCTAATTTTGGAGATGGATTCATATGTATCATACCTGAAAAAGTCACGTTCCTTTTTCCTCTTCTGCTACCCTGGTTGCCTGATTTCTTACCAGTTGGCTCACAAAAGGGGTAGGGAACCATGCAAAGAGGTGAAATACTATGTTCATTACACTGCTTGTTAGCACCATAAAGTTGAGCCAGAGGTTGAGAGCTAATGACTGACTGTGACTTTCTCCCTTGCTAGTTTGCTGTGTCATGCCATGTTCCTGGATAACTAAAAGACCCTAGTGTTACTGCCTAACAGAAGATCTGTCCAAGGATGGCCTATGCTGTTTTATTCCCTCTCTTTTGGGGTGTGCATCACATGAACCAACAGAGGTGCACTGAACACCAGAGACCTTTTCCACATCCTGATTTATACACAGATAACCTTAAGGCAGGTCCACAGAAAAAACTGAAGGTATAACCTGATACCCTTTAATTTATCTCTTTGGACACTTTAAACTAAATATAAAATTATTCAAGTAATCACATACCCAACAATGATCAAAAGTACTTGTTTTCAAAAAGAAAAATATTTATAAATTATATAGTATTATTTTAATAGATTTCAAGCCAGTGTTTGTTTTAGGGGGTTAGAGAAATATGACAACTATGAAAAATGACAACTATGAAAAGTCCTCAATTCAGGAAAGATCTGTATGGAAATGACCCCAAACCATATTATTGCCCATTTCTCTGTAAAACCAAAGATGGTTCTAGAACCATTACAGTTAGGACAGTGTTTATCCTTCTACTGCTTTATATAATTCTTGCTTTAGTTAAGCTCCAAAATTTAGGTATCTGGAGTCACTTGTGCTTATTAGAGATGATGGGTTGGATTTCCACAAGACTTGGGCTTGTTCATCATTTTCATACAACAGCAGTAGCAATCAAGGCCAAAGAGCTTTGTAAGTTAATATCAATAACTATTCCTCCCTTCTGACAGAGCTGCAATCGGAATGAATATTCCAGCATCTCAACTCTCTCCTCAGATGTGGGGAGTCAGATATGACCAGTCCTAATAAACCAGAAATTTAATAAGCATAGCATAGACTCTGCTAAGTTCCCCAACTGTCATTTTGCTGGCTGAACTGAGTATTTTAGCAGACTGATAGGAAGTATTGGTCTTTGTTGAGAACTGAGCTTTTCTCATTCAGCGAGAACTGGTAGCTTCATCAGAATGGGTAACTGCTTTTCCTTAGCACTTTCGATAGAACCCTTACAAGCTCTTTTGACAATCTAAGGACAAGAATATATAGTTCAATATGTTATCTGTAGCCCGGGGCCCTGCCCGAGACACATCAGGTAAATGGATGACTCCAATCTGCATGTGGACTAAGGCGCTCCCTGAAGACAGCCCAAACCAAAAAGCAGGAGCGAGGCCAGGTGAACCTAAGCAAATTAAAACCATAGTTCTAGGTGATCGGGTGGGGGCAGGACAGAGTATAGTCTGCTGTTCACCTCTCAGATCTGTGTCCCAGCCCAGCTCTGACTAGATCATATCTGATTCCTATGGAGAAAAGAAGGTAGCCAAAAAAAACTTGAGAGCAGAAGCACTGAAGACTATAAAACCCTGGGGTGTGTAACACAGTCAGGAGACAGGCTGTCTCCTCATTTTGTCTCAGGGCAACCTTAACACAGAGAGAACTCAGTGCACTGGGGATGGGCCAGGTGGGGCAGCCCTTTACCCACGGACATGCCAGTTGGACTGCTCTGACCTAATCAAGCAATAGCCTGCAAAGAACCTTATAACCATTAACCAACCTTAGGTGAGTTTGGGAAATAGAAGATAGGGATGCCTGTCTTAGATAGGCATCTAAGAAGGGAATGTTTCTATTATGACAATTTAACTCTCCAAGGAAGGGACAAGTGACATAGGAAATGGAAGGCAAGACTCAGCCACTCACCCAGCCAGAGCCCTGCCATCCCGCAGAGACAGCCCCATGGCAGAGCTGCAAACGAGGACCAGTGCTCCACCTTGGTGAAATACAGGATGACTGGGGTGAAGGAGATGAAGATTAAATTGAAGAAACCCAACGTAGAGACAAAGTGTGCTGCCTCACCAAAGTTAGCACTTCCAAGAAACATCTTAAACAAAACCTAGAACAGGAAAGGAACTTGTTAGCCACTTGGTCAGGGGCTGTTGTTGAATCAGAAAGTCAAGTTCTACATCGGGAGCTAACTGGCCCAGAACTTATGCTCTATGTCGTCTTATCCCAGCATTTCCATGACACTAAATGGGCTGCTGAGCTAAGGAATTCAAATACATTCTAGCCTTTATGTAAAACAGAAATTGTCATAAAATGAATCCCACTTGGTATGCCACAGGGATAATGTAACTGGGAAAAACCCACCGTCAGTTATGGGTATAGGGTAGATGATAAAGAAGAATGCAGATCAGCCCAGAAACATTTAGGACTGAGATGCCCTCAGTTCTGTCCTTCAAGCATGGGATTAATTTTATCCTTATTTTGATAATTACTGAAAACTAAATTGCACAGAGAGAACCTGTCATCATGTTATTGAGAGGAGTAATAGCTTCCCTTGTGGCTCAGCTGGCAAAGAATCTGCCTGCAATGCATGAGACCTGGGTTTGATCCCTGGGTTGGGAAGATCCCCTGGAGAAGGGAAAGACTACCCACTCCAGTATTCTGGCCTGGAGAATTCCATGGACTGTATAGTCCATGGGGTTGCAAAGAGTAGGACACGACTGAGCAACTTTCACTTTCAATAGTGATGCCTTGGATTTATAAGCACTTTTCTCTCTGAGTTTAAAATATTTTCACAAGGTCTGTATTTATTCTCCAGATTTTAAAGATTGTTTTTCTTTTCTGGATAATAAATCTGTGTATAGAGGAAGATGACAAGGACATGTAAATAGCTAACCTAAATCACACATTTAGTTTGGGAGGAGACAGGTCTCTAGTCCATATTTCTTGGTTTCTTAACCCCTCTGCTTCCTTTATTAATCCTCAAACAGTGTAGCACAGAATATATCTTTGCTTTGGTGTACATATGATGCTGTGTGTGTCAGCAGATATTACCACTACCAGAATGAATACATCTGTAATGTGGTCAGGAGAATTCTCTCTATAAAAGAGACATCCCAGGCATACAGCAGATCCAGGTATTTCTTTTAATTTTAACTAAACATATTGTTTTCTTCTCTTGAGAGACTTAGAACTTGAGCTCGTGCTGGTGGTCTTTGTTCACATCAGACATCTCAGTGGAGTCTCAGCTGGGGGCAAGCTAAACACTAATGGTGACTGAGTGAACACTTGTAAAGCTTGTCAGAGAATCAGTAGGTCAGGAAATGTCAATATGGAAATAGACACAACGTCCTCTGAGCTGCAGAGTTGGTGAATAAGCAGAACAGGCATCCAGGAGGGATGCAGCGGGCATTTTCTGCTTTTCAGATAAGATGTTCTCATTGAAACACCATGAGAGGTGAAAGTGGAACAGTTGCAACATCCAGAAAGTTGGCTCTGGAAAGCGGCACTTTGGTGAACAGCCTTTTAGATCTGCTTTCTTAGTTCACGCTTTTGAAGTCTATTCAGTGACTCTGAATAGAGCTTTCACTGAGGACAGGTAGCTCCAGGGGAGGGAGAACTGTGAGTACATAGTACAGACCCAGAGTATGCATCGAGAGGAAAAGAGGCTCTTCATCTAGCTAATAACGTAGCATGGGGTTTCTATGTAGCAAACTAAACTCTCAAGCGATAGTTCGTTTAGGATTTTTAACACCTCGTTGTAGTTAAAATAATGACCGAAGGTAGTTAAATGTAGAGAAGTCTTTCTCAGCTCCTGCTACAACTGGTTGGCGATTTGGGAGGGGTGGAGTCGTGGCCACCAGGGAAGCCCTTGGAGTTGACCAATCCGAGTTTAAATCTTGGCTCTATCACTTCCTGGCTGGATGATATTTGACAAGTTACCTAATCTTTCCAAGTCTCAGTTTCCTCATCTGCAAAGTGGGAATAAGTACCTATGCCTCATAAAGGTATGGTAACAGGTGAAAATTCTGGCAAGTACAACCTGTAGCAAGTACTCAATAATTGGTACTTATTGTTATTTAAACTATCTTTTTTTTTCTTTTGCTAGCTGACATTTTCTATTTTCTTTATAAAATATTACTTATTACTTTATAAAAATATAAGCTACAAATGATAATAAGCACATAATAAAGTACACGAAATACCTTATACAGTGCAGATGTTGAGGCTGAGCCCACGGCAAATGCCACTCCTATGATAGAATCGGCGTGGAAGTTATCTGCATATGCCATCATCACGATGCCAGTGATTGCCATTATTGCAGCAACTATCTGTCACATAGAATGCAAAGAAAAAAATGTTTACATTGATGCCTCCATATCCCAGAGCAAGCAGTTGAAAAACCCATGGGAGCTGCTACATGCTTCCTCAAACCCAATTACCTCCTGTACATCACTGTTTAAATGTAGGAGGGTCAGTATCAGAAAGAAATCCATACACTCATTAGACATCCAGACAGAGAATATAAAAGCTACTCACATATTCTAATTAAGGACTAGTAATTTTAGTTTGATTTTTTTAGCTCAGCTTCCTAGACATTAATACCCATATTGATGAAATAAATTTAATAGGAAGTCACTTCTTAGCATTTTCATCTATACTGTGTTCTTTTCCTTCAAACAATTCAGCACATATCAATCAGCTCCTTGGATCAATGCATGTTTCTGAAGATCTCCACATAATCAGAACTTGATTATGGTGATGTAATATTGATTGAGACGTAATAAGAGACAAGTTTTAGACCAAAGTGAAAAAAGAAATGAGAATAATCTTTCAGAATGATTCATAAGGAGCGAGTTGAGTTTGCACTGTCACTTGGAATGTCAAGCAGAGGCTATTTCTTCCTTTTGTTTACATGTAAACTAAGCCACAGAAAGATAATTTCATTGAGCTATTCTAAAGCATTAGCTGTATAAAGTGATATATTAATAATTGATTGAAATCATAATGGTTTACTGTAAATTAATATGATCCTTGATATATTCCAAAGAGAAGTCCACTTCCTTTGTGAAATGCTCATTGACATCTGTTTCTTTCATCATCTCAACCTGCTTTTATTGGAAAACATTTTAAAGATACAGTGAAAAGTAAAGTAACAACTCTGGAATAGGAAATACTATGTTATTTCATTGTGAAATAGTCTCACTGACTTTAAGATCACAATGCAACTTTGCGGGAAATTTAAAAATACTTGCTGATTGGTTTTGTTAAGCTTCAGTTCTGAGTATTCCCAAGTAGACCTGTTTCCTCTGTAGACAGATTTCTCACATATGTGATTTTTTGACCCTTTGAAATATTATTAGTGAATTATTCATTACAATCAAATGTATATCTTTAACATGTAACTTGCTGGAGGCCAGAGCGAAGTATGATAAGGATGACATGTATAATTTAGATACTGTTAAAGCATTTCTTTTGTTGATGACCACCCAAAGCCAGGGCACAGGTGGTTTCAGAGCCAGCTCCATACTGACACGTCTTTTATGAGAAACAGCAGGCGTACTCGAGAACAGACGGCAACTTGTCAGCAGTGAAAGACTGTCTCCATAAACCGCTATCCGGGAGGCTATGTGATGGGGGGTGTTGCCCGTGCTGAGTGAGTATTAGTCTCTAAAGCTTCCAGGCCTGTGTTCCAGTTAGACTGTGCTTCAGACTGTATGAAACAGAATTTAACACACACACTATGAGGTGCCAAGGACATTTTCCAAACAGGAAGTAATAGACTCATAAATAAACACGTTGAAGTGGTTACCTAGGCCTGGAAGTTCTGCGAGGGTTATTATTTTCTTTGATTTGGGGATTTATAGTTCAGCTAGGGATTTGCAATCTTTGTTTGGGTAGTCTGATGTCAGAGAAATGAAAAGTTATGTTAGATATGGACAGTTTCTGATTTGTTTTTGTGTTTCATGAATGTTTGTGTGTTAAAGTATTCAGGTTCACAGATAGATTTCCCTCAAAATATTGAGCTTGTAGGATAAAACATTTGAATTAATATTTGTTTTCTTTTTACCAAGCATCAGTAGTATTTTCTTGGTCAAATAAACAGGTGATACCTTCAAGACAGGGATAATAGAATACAATGTTAATCCTAAAGAACTTTAATGTGATATATTGCTTTGTACTTTAAAATATTAAAATTATTCTATAATATACAATATCTAGGCTTAGGCAATTGTGTATAATACATAAATTGATTTAGGGAATTCTGAAAATAAATAGTCCCTACAAAAAATAGGGAAAAAACCAAAAACACTGTCTGGAAAATGTTGAACAAGGAATACAGTTAGCCACAGGATATGACCCCAATTGGGAACTCTTCCTTTTCTGAGTCAGCCATTAGTAAAAATACATATGCACTATATTTCTGTTATAAGTTTTCTCAAGATAGAAATTGGACGTGGACAAAGGTTACATAACTTTATAGCAATTCAGAATTATAACCATAACGAACCTCTTAAAGATCTCCATTATATTTAATATTCAAGTACTTGTGAAATTATTAGCTCAGACCATTTAAATTGACATATCAATTACACTAGCATCTCTCTGAATTGTGTTCATGGAGAGGAGCATTTTTCACTTCAGGGGACCAGACAACACTGTTAGTTAAGTTCCAAAAGCATGAAAATTTGATATTTGTGATGTTAGAAAAATTCCTGTCTATGGTATGAACAGTTGTTTATAGGTTAGTAGGTTACCTGGGGATAAAAGATAATTTAATTTATTTTCCACATTTCTATTTACATTTCACAACTATCTGATAGAACAAGTTCTCTATGGCCATGTTTAAAATTTTTTTCATTCTATTTCTCATCTACATAGTTGAAACTAAGGGAAAGGAACTGAGCTAATCTAGGAAATTCAGGGAAATTTTGGGTGGCAGGTTCATTTGGAGTGGTGGCTTGGATGATCTCTGAGTGGCTCTGTCTCCCACCATTGGTTAACTGCAAGAGTAAATATTTTTGAGATTGCCAGAAAACAGGTAACCTGAGTACAGGTCTGAGTCACGTGCATTTTCAGCGGTAATCAGTCATTAAGGCAGGACTAATTGTCTTCTCAACAAAAAAACACAAAGTGATTCTTCTTGGGCAGGACATTGAAAATGTGCCAGCAGGAAGCCAGCACTTTCAGTACTGTGGCAGAAGTGCTCATATGACATCCACATGATGACAAACACACAAAAAATGCTTCTGAGCATGTTAGTGTCCACAGGAGGGACTCCTCTGCTGAAAATGTACCATCTCATGGTGCCACCTGCTTGGCTGCAGAAAAACAAGGCTCTCCTCACAACCTACTCCAGTTCTAGCTCCGTAAACAACCAGAGGTGTCTAAACAAGATGGACACCCCACCACTACCATTACTTAAATCTGACTTCAGTGAAAATGTTAGTAACCAGAGTGACCATAAAGCTTCCAATGCCTCATTTTTAACCTTCTGGACCTCTGGGTCCCCTCCCGTGGTGGTGTGCCCACCTGGGGTGAGAACCTGGAGGGAGAGAATTTATTTAGCCCATTACCCTTGCATGCTCCTTGAGTGACATCACCACCTGAGGCAGCTACCTTCCTCTGCAGGCTCAGTCTGCTCTGAGATCTTAATCTGCATCAGCTCTCAGGGCCAATCAGAGAGGAACCTGGTTTGAGCTTGTTTTTAAAGCCCAAAGAGGGCGTTAACACTAAACATTTGGGGATTGCACAGATCTACATACTACCTGTGTCCCTGCCTGACAGCTAGGTTTCTTTCCCCTCTTGAAGAATTAGTTTGTACAGATAAAACCTAGAGAAATATCTGGCTTTTGCCTGTTTCTGTTTTCCTTTATCTTAATTTCCTCCCTCTTTTGGCGCAGGTCCTCAAAAACCACAAGAGTCCAGCCCTTCTCTGGATCTCCAACCTCATTACAGTCACTGTGTTTCCTGCTGACAAATGACTTCCAGAACTATTATTTACATAACAATATCAGTTCTTCTCGATTCAGGGTATTAAGATGATCCTTTAACTGCTTCTCTAATTGTAACCCAAATGTATTTCCTTAATTTGTGATGTGGTTAACCCTGTTTCTGGAGCTGGGTGGATCATGGATTCACTCACACTGGAGTCTTGAGTCCTAAGCCTGTATCAGGCTCTGAAATTGAGGGCCTCAAAGTTATACTGCTGGCCAGACTATACTCAAGTCAGGACTCAAAGTCAGCAGTTGAAGGTGGATACACATCAATAGCTTGGCCAATGAGACCTGCAGTGATGATTATCCTTGTTTCCTGTGAGTGTATCTAGATAGAGTCCACTTCAGGGAATCATGGCTACACAGAATCCTTAAATTTGTCCACATTTTATGTTTGCATGAGTGCATGCTAAGTCGCTTCAGTTGTGTCCAACTCTTTGCCACTCTGTTAACTGTAGCCTGCTAGGTTCCTTTGTCCATGAGGATTCTCTAGGCAGGGATACTGGAGTGGGTTGCCATGCCCTCCTCCAGACATGTTATGTTTAAGCTTCCATAAAGAAGAGCCATCTGTTTACTCAAAGCCAGTGAAATTGGACAAGAGTCAATGTGTGAGAAATAAAAGAGGTGGGCAGTCTGCAGCAGTCCAGATATTATGTGTGTGTTCAGGGGTAGGGGGGTGAGGCGGTCCCTGGGGTTTAGATCTCAAACTAGATTCCCACCCTCCATCCCCATGCCACACACACACACACACACACACACACACAACGGGTTTAGATCTCAAACTAGATTCCCACCCTCCATCCCCATGCCACACACACACACACACGGGTTTAGATCTCAAACTAGATTCCCACCCTCCATCCCCATGCCACACACACACACACACACACACACACACACACACACACACACGGGTTTAGATCTCAAACTAGATTCCCACCCTCCATCCCCATGCCACACACACACACACACACATCTCTCAAAGGGAGACCAGGATGGAAAAAAGAACGAAAGAAATCCCAGAAGGAAAGACTCAAGAGTTTGTGGAAAGTGTTGTTGTTCAGTCACTCAGTAATGTCCAGCTCTTTGCGACCCCATGGACTGCAGCACACCAGGCTTCCTTGTCCTTCACCATCTCCCAGAGCTTGCTCAAACTCATGTCCATTGAGTTGGTGATGCCATCCAACCATCTTATCCTCTGTCATCCACTTCTCCTTTTATCTTTCCCAGCATCAAGGTTTTTTCCAATGTGTTGACTCTTCACATCAAGTGGCCAAAGTATTAGAGCTTCAGCTTCAACATCAGTCCTTCTAATGAATATTCAGAGTTGATTTCCTTTAGAATTGACTGGTTTGATCTCCTTGCGGCCCAAGGAACTCTCAAGAGGCTTCTCCAACACCACAGTTCAAAAGGCATCAGTTCTTTGGCGCTCAACCTTCTTATGGTCCAACTCTCACATCAATACGTGACTACTGGAAAAACCATAGCTTTGACTAGATGGACCTTTGCTGGCAAAGTAATGTCTCCTCTTTTCAATACATTGTCTAGGTTTGTCATAGCTTTTCTTCCAAGGAGCAAGCGTCTTTTAATTTCATGGCTGCAATCACCTTCCATAGTGATGATGTGGAAGGTAGATGGGACCTGTTGACTATAACTTGTTGACAGGGTTTATGGATTCCTTATGGGCATAAAATCAGAGAACCTTTCCAATTCAACTTTCCCTTCCCTGTATTTGTGAATTATTCTCCTGCCAAGAGGGGGATGAAAGGGGAAGAGTCCTACTACCCATCCTCTGCTCTCTCGTCCAGGAAGCATGAAGATTCCAGACAGAGGAGCCTGCACTGCACGTGAATAAAGAGTTACTGCATAAATGTCAATCAAAGGCAAGACGGAAACAAAAGATTGCCTTGAATCTCATCTAAATATGTAATATTGGTATAAATCAGTAGAAGCTCAGCTCCAGAGCCCTGATTTAGAGTGCCCTGGAGCCCAGTTAGAATTCAGTGAAGAGCAGTTTAAGCAATGAACGATTCCATTCAACTGACATACTCTGGTTGGTTCTTGGCAGATGGCAGCAAGTCTCCAAAACAGCCAAAGTGTGGGAAGCTAAACACATAGGGACCCAATTATATCTAGAAAATAGGTGGGTGCCAAGCTGAAGGGACACAAATTCATTTCCTAAATCTGCTATAAAAGTCAAGGTTCACTGAACCATTCATTGCCCACCAATTTCCTTCATACTTTCAAGCAAATTTGAAAAGAAAAGAAAATTTTCAATTAATAATAGAGAAATAAGGGAGCAACAATATCTGAAAGAAAGTGTGTTAATTTTCTGGCCTGACTTTTACTTTTCATTAGAGTGAAATGGACACTCATGACAGAGAAGAAAACCTGAAGCAGTGCCTCATTTTTTTTCTTTTTTTTTTGGTGAGGAGAACTTTTTTTTATTAAGGTGATTTTTCTGGTTCTGATGAATTTAAGAATGCTAGCTAAATAAAACAGAATCTTGGAGATGGTTAAAACACCCATCTTTAATCCTGCAAGAGCTGGATTCTCAGTAACACTTCTGCAATTAGAAAAGGTCTTTCAAAGAAGTTTGCTAATTTCCACAGGATAATCATACATCAGCTGTAAGCAACTACTTATGAAAGGGTTTTTTTTTTTTTTTAACACACCAAAGCTTACCAGCCAATTGGTTGAAAGAATTTCATAATAGAAAACTAAATGTATGAGTGATTACCTTTTCATCTGTAATTCAATCAATATTCCAAGGAAACTAAATATTAATAAGTTAAGGCTTCCCTGGTGGCTCAGATGGTAAAGAATCTGCCTGCAACACAGGAGACCCAGATTTGATCCCTGGGTCAGAAAGATCCCCTGGAGAAGGAAATGGCAACCCACTCCAGCATTCTTGCCTGGAGAATTCCATGAACAGAGGAGCCTGGTGGGCTACAGTCCATGGGGTCACAAAAAGTCGGACACAACTGAGTGACTAACACTGAGGCCACATGTTTCACCTTAAGGGTGATGATTCTTGGGTCATGCAAATGAGAATTATAACCCCCAAACCATCTTTTTCTGAACTACTGAAGACTTAGAATAAGCCAGAAATATGTTTTGATTTGATGACTGAAAGCAATCCTGTTTTCAGTCAAAAACAGCAAAACTGTTTTTAAAAAGAGTAGTCCAAGTGAGGTGACATATACAGGCAGTGTCTTATTTATGGATATAGGCGATAAGAGCTGCATTTATGTTGTCTGTATTCTATTTGCCCTCCTCTGATTTCTCAAATGACCTAATTACACCTGTTCTCAATATGTCTTAGAAGGAAAAGAATTGCTGATATGGTCAAAAGGCAAAATGTTGAATATGTTTTGGTACTTCTTATATTCCATGGCCTGATTATGGGCATTATGAAAATTACATCTTGACATTCTTCTAGAATATGGCATTAAAAACTTTCTAACACTTTCACAGTCAGAAGTGAAGTGCCTCCTATCATCTTAAAGGAAAAATTCCTGACTTCTCCAGCATGACTGACATTAGTGCTCATCATTTTATCACCTATGACGTCTTAATTTATGTATTTACTTATGAACAATTACTTATTGGCTACTTAATTTTTCTATCAGGTCTTATCATTACTGACAGACACTGTGTTAGTTTCTTGAGGCTACTGTAACAAATGACCACAAACGTGGTGATTGAAAACAGCAAACATCTATTCTGTCATAGTTGTGGAGGCCCGAAGTTCAGAATCAGGCACGCTCCTCACAGCAGTTCTGGGAGAGAATACATTCCTGCCTCTTTCAGTTTCTGCTTGCTTGCCCCAGCTTTCCTAGGCTTCTGTCCACATCACTCCAATCTCCATCTCTGTGGGTACATCGCTCCTCCTCTTCTGTGTCTTTCCTGTGTGTGTGTCTTCTAAGGATACTTGTTACTGGATTTAGCAGACACCCAAATCAACTAGGATGATCTCCTGTTTGTAAAAATCCTTAAGTTAATTATGTCTGCAAAGACTTATTTTTCCAAGTAAGGTCACATTAATAGGTTCTGGAGGTTAGGATGTGGACACCTTATTGGGGCCCACCATTTCACCCACCACAGATGCCAATTTTAAAATATTAAGTTGGCCAAAAAGTTTGTAAGATGTTTTTCCGTAATATCTTATGGAAAAACTCTAATTAACTTTTTTGCTAGCCCAATAGCATGCTTTGTAACTTCTAGGTAGATTTCCTAAATCTGCCATTTAAATATAAGTTACACAGCTGAGTTTTTTCTTCTAAAAGACCTCAAATAAACGTTATCTTTTTTTATATGACCTCTTGCATAAGTTTCATTCATTCATTCTACTACAATTGATTTCCTTACTGATAAATCTAATAGCATCTTATTGCCTTTTTATACTGTTCATGGGGTTCTCACGGCAAAAATACTGGAGTGGGATGAGATGGTTGGATGGCATCACTGACAATAAACATGAACTTGAGTGAACTCTAGGAGATGGTGAGGGATAAGAAGGCCTGGAGTGCTGCCATCCGTGGGGTTGCAAAAACTAGGACATGACTTAGTGACTGAACAACAGCAGCAAATCTAACAGTGGGTGTATTGATTTCCTTTTGGTAGTCACATTACACTGAAAAACCGGAAAAGCCCCTAAATGTCCTTTCTTTCCCTCTTGTCTGAAAAGATGTCCAAATTCTCATGGGTGATTCTCATGGTGATAGAAATGAGAAAGATCTTGTAAGTATGAGTTCATTCACTATATCCGTAAATACATACAGTCCCCACTTTGTCCCTTGTATTGTTCTAGGTGTTAAGAGATAGAGGCAGAGCCAGTACCATGGGTATATGACCTGTACAGATGCACTGGGCCCCATAATGTTGCCATCTTGTAATTATTCACACTTTTTTTCAGCAAGGGGCTCTGCATTTTCACTTTTCACTGGGCCCCACAAATTATGTCAACCCCAGCTGAATGGATCAGTGAGCAATGTGAAGAAGGTTCTTGTTCTCAAGTACTCGTCAGGGTTCCTGACACTAGACAGCCAGTGCTTCATGAGTAATACCATTAAGCTAAGCCTCTTGGGTGTGATATCTAACATTAGCTAGTGGAGAATGAGTGTGAGACTGTATCTGGTATAGTCGAATGGTATCATGGACTGATTGAGAATTTTTCATCTTGTTTTCTGCTGTAGTTTTCCACTTCTTGTCTGTGTCAAGCTTCAGTTCTGAATTTCTGAGCAGCATCTCCAAAGATACAACCAGAATTAGCTAATTGGCTATTAAGAAAATGTTTTCAGGATGATGGCTATCACAAGCTCTCTAATATAGATGTGAATTTCAGCATTTAGCGAGGCAAATAATCATTGCAACAGGAGCAATAGTTTGATAGCAAAAAAAATGTTTCAACCCAGTCTTGGACACCTCTTTTGAAGAACAGCAATCACGTGATGTTTATTTTCTGGAAAAACACTCTTTGTTTGGATCTCCTTTTAAAGAATTATTTACTCAGTATTTTCATCATGGTGGCATGCCAGATTATATGAATGATATACGTCTGCATAGCTCTCAATCAATGTAACAAAGGTCAAACATACAAAAAACTTTTTATTTTTAAATCCAGAATATCTCTGAAAGGGACAAACTCAGAACTGAAGTGGTTGGTGGAAGTTTAATGCTATCCAATTGAGGATATGTACCCCAAAGTACAAGTTGTTGTTTTTAGTTCCATTTCTAGATTAGTCATACTAGATATATAGCCACTCTTAACAGCATAGTGCCATTACTGGTGACTTTAATTACTGTTTGGTGATCTTACTACTTATACCAATATTAATTACATTCATGGGAGGGGGTGCAAAAAACATGAGTTGTCCAAACATGTTGACTGGAAGAAAAAAATAATAATCTTTACTGTGGCTAATTTTCTTAGACCCTTCTTTCCCAAGCACAGAAGGAGTTGATCAGACCATTAATTCTAAAAAAAGAACTTATTTTCCCTGAGTGCCTCCTGTTGACATCTGCTGACTGCCCAATGGAAACAATCTTTTATCCTCTTATGACATTGTAACTGCCTGGGTGTTCTAGCACATCTTCAAATTTCAATCTGTACTCCGAACCAAATAAGTTTTGCAGAAACTCCACAAAATGAAGCAGCTCTCCCAATGCCAAGGATTTATGATTAAATGCAGCCTCACACATTGAATCAAGTGTGCTATTACCCTCACTCCCATGAACCTGTCTTTCAGCACGATCCATGACAGCAAGAAGACAAAGGCTTTGTTACAACAGAACAGAGCAGAGACATCCGTGGCTGTCAGCTTCTTTAAAGCCAGTAAATACAGGTAATTAGTCAAAGTCCACAGAATAGAAAAGGGAGCAGTTCTTTTAAGAAAGAGCTTCAAGGTCAGACCATCTTCACCAAAAATTCGACTGCATTCCCTAAGGAAGAAAGAGAGGTTAATAGGTATTGATGTTAACACATCTTGTGTGGACTAGCTCTTGACAGCCATTTTTAGGCAAGAGCACAAACCCTCAAGACCCATTATTCATGTGTGGAACCTACTGAACCCAGGGCTGCCACCTTCAGATCATGAGTGCAAAGGGTTCCATGGAGGAGTTCCCATATCCCCAGGCACAGGCCTTTCCTAACGGTTGTGCGAGATTCTGGGGGTAGCCATTCTGCTGTTGCTGAATATTCTTAGAGAAACCTGGAGAAATCCAGAGATGACTGGTTGCTGGAATTACTAGCTATTGGAAGAGACAGAAGATGCTTTCCCAATGGACAAATGCAACAGTGTCAAGACAGTTGCCACAGACTGAATAGGCTACAGACAATGCGCAACCTCACATAGCAAGTAAAGGCAGGTGCAGCTTGGTATTTTATTATTCCTAAAACGTTATGCCTCTTTCTAACATATCTGCCCACTGGACTAATTTCTTTTATGCCTTCCCTGGTAGCTCAGCTGGTGAAGAATACACCTGCAATGCAGGAGACCCCTGTTCAATCCCTGGGTCAGGAAGACCCCCTAGAGAAGGGGTAGGCTCCCCACTCCAGGATTCTTGGGCTTCCCTGGTGGCTCAGATGGTAAAGAATCTGCCTGCAATGCGGGAGATCTGGGTTCAATCGCTGGGTTGGGAAAATCTCCTGGAGAAGGGCATGGCAACCCACTCCAGTATTCTTGCCTGGAGAATCCCCATGAAGAGAGGACCTTGGTGGGCTACAGTCCATGGGGTCACAAAGAGTCGGACACGATCCAAGCCACTAAGCACAGCATAGCATTTTTAAGGCAGAAAAAATGAAGGAAGTTTCTGTGATAACCCCCAAATCATAAAATAAATAAAATTCAAGTTCCATTTATATACAGACTTTGACCATTCTGGAGGAGTTGTCTGAATACACTGCTTAAAAATAGTTATTTCAGTTAAATCTTTGATTTGCATGGTTTCTGACTAAATTGATTATTTAGTCCAGAGGGTGGTTTTAATCAAAATGTTGAAGCTAGCAATACATACAGGTGATATTTAAAGTGATAGAATAACAATGACTTTTTGATTATGGACTGAAAACAGGCTGGGAAAATTCAGCTTCATTTTTTTTCAGTCAGCTGTTCATGAACATTCACGCTTTCATTAGGCAACTATCTGGTGTCAGGCATTGTTTTTTTCAAGCATAGTATAAATATCCCATTTAAAGCAAGAAGTTATTCACAGTTGCACATTTATGTTTATAAATCTATTTATATGACTCTAGATAGCTCTAGTTTCTGGTTTCTCTTCTCGCTCTTTCTGAATAGAGATAATTGTGTCTCAAAGTATTACTTTGCCTCAAAGCAATCTCCAGCCAATGTTTGCCTCCCCTGTATGAAGTGATTCAGCCCACAGGAGAACTGCATGTGGGGAGGGCATGACCAAGTGATGAGGCTTCAGGCTCAGGGGGACGAGCTTCAGTATCAAGTCTCGTAGTAAATGCTGCTTCCAAGCAGCAGAGAACACAGGGGATTGTAGGCCAGCGACTCTGGGAAGGTTAAAAATCCATTTTGAACACACAGACATGCATGCCATGGTTTTACTTTCATGTGGGAGACAACCAAAATGGAAAGGTTTCATAAAATGGGATTTCCCAAAGCTAAATTTTAACTTGAAGGAGACAAAACTTCAGTGAAGGGACTAAATAAGCCAGAGGCAAAACCTTTTGCAAAGTAAACAGAAATTACGCATGCTCACACACACAGGAAGATGGATGGAGTCTCTGCTTTGTTTGGCTTTATTGAGGTGTAATTGATTAACAATATTATAAAATGGAACGGCCTTTCTAAAGCCCTACTATTGAGATACTCAGAATCAGAGGCACACACAGAGCAAGGAACAGTTTTTATGGAGCATTTAGGCACATGCTTTGTATTCTGTCCTTACAGAGAGATCTGGTCCTTGAGGAAATCTGCCAGGGACAGCTGGAGTGGGGAGTCATGGGTTTATTTATCCTGACATCTATAACTTCTGAACGTCCTTTAAAATACATATTTATTAAGAACCACAACAAATCTATGATTAAAGCCTTTCTTTTCCTATCACCAGCCCTAGCCAGTGATGGTTCTTCTTACCAAGGGTTCCACCATCATGCTGGGTAGAGTGCACTCAAAGACTTTGGATTCAGGAAAGGAAACACCCTGCCCCCGTGGGGAAGCCAGCACAGGCAGGTGGGCTGGGGAGAGTGACCCCAGCATAGCACTGCTGCCTAGCAGAGGCTCCTGGCCTGGCTTATCCTGTCCCCCAGGAACTGGCTTCCCCCTAATTACCCGTTCTTCCCCTTTCCTCTCAGTGCCAACCTTCTCCCCACTTGTCATTGCTGTTAACAAAAATTAAAATTGGTCTCCATTCAAACACCAGTTCACCTGGGTAAAACCTCTTGCTGTTTAAGCATTAAGTGCTAGGAAATGTGAAAATTTCTTTTAAAAAGATGGATTTCTGTGAAGAAACAGATAACAACAGCATGTCACTCCCTGGGATGATGAGTTCAGAATTTCTAGACAAGAAGCATTGACAGGAGGCAAAATTTGGAAAGAAGCTTAGAAGTTGGGGGTACTAATAATGTAATCATGCTCATCACTGCTCCAGCAGCTACTAGTTAATGGAACACTTTCTGTATGTTGGTTGGCATCTTAAGCACATTTCATAGCCTCCTGACATATGGCAAGTGTGTCTTTGGCTCTAGTTTCATGCTTTCTAGAGATTTTTTTCCTTAAGAAATGACCCTTTGATATTCTTTTGATATACCATCAAAACTACATTATATAATTTTTTTCTTAAATTTCAAATCCACCTGAGACAATTGAATTCTCTTAACTCTATATAAATGGCATGATTGAAATACCAAAAACTATTTCCAAATGCACAATCCTTACCATCTAAGTTTGATACTTTGTTGAAAATTCTTTTGATGTTAGTGATAGGGGGGAAAACTCAAAATGCTTTCAAACCATTCAAGAGAAAAGGAGAAAATAGAGGGTGTGATGCTATGGGATACATCCTGTTTCCAGTCTTAGACACTAACTATTCTCCCCTTGCTCTGCCATGAGAACTTCATGGGGTGACTTCTTGGCAGACGGTGGTAATGAATCTACAGGGAATAAAGATCAAGGATCTCAGAATTTTCTGGCAGTGTTTACCTTTCATACGGAGGGGGCCACTGGAGACTATTCCCTTCAAAGACAATGTTTTCTGCTTGAAAATAAAAGCTCTTTGATTCAGTTTCACAAATGGTCAACTTCACGCTGGGACTAACAGGTGGAGGTGTCCTGTCAAGTCACAGATTTCACTACATTCAGAGTTAGTTCAGTGTGAGAGAAACTCATTCTCCAAACAACACTTCTGTCAGCAGGAGCCTCTTGTTGTAAATGTGTTCTCTTAAGTAAAACTGACCTGGCTTGCTTTGAGGTATTCTGACGCATTGCTTCCCATATTACCCTTCTGCTGTTTTTCATCAGCATATGTGTCTAAACCATAGGAACCTTTGAGTAGCACACATACACTATAGGTAAGTGGAGGTGTCTGCAATCAGGGAGACTTTATTCTGAAAATTATGTCCCCTGAAATCATGTATTAAGTATTGTTATCTAAAAAGACCTCATGTCTGTTTTGATGGGAAGAAATTAGTCTTAGCAATCCTTAACAGGTATAAGGCTTTTTTCTTTCCTCCAAACCAGAAAACACTTCTTTTTGAGCTGGTTTTTGTTGCTTTAATGATAGCAGAATGTTCATGGACACACAGAGAAAGTCAGCTCACAGTGCAACGTCAATATTCCTGGGCAATTCCAAGCTGGTGATGGAAGTTGAAGATAAAGCCTTCAGAGTGCCTTAAATTTTTAAGGACAGTCTTACCATGCACCGATGATCATCCTTTCATCATAAGGTAAAAGGGCAAGATAGAAAGGTTATTTGGGCCCCTGCAAGACAAATTTATTGCCATTCTGCTGAGGAGGAATAAGCAAAAAGCTGTCACTCTCCCACTAAAATCTGCTGAGGTCAAGACCACTGTTTTCTCCTGGTGAGCAGAGTGACTGTCCTGGAAGTTGTTCCTTGATTCTGGTTTTTCTTTTCAAGCTCTGTTAGCAAAGGACCTTTAACCCAAAAGCTACTCTGCCTCTCCTCAGTGCTGCGCAGGACTGGATGACATGGCTCTGCCAACGTTCCCATCTCTCCACGATGGAGCTGCAGGAGCCAGGTCGAACTCAGAGCAACCAACAGGACCACGGCACTGTCACGTTCATGGCCAGCAAACCAACAGACAAGGCTCTCTGGTCCTAGCCAGCAAAGAACAGCTTCTTTTAACCCATCCCAAGGCCAGACCAAGTCATTTTATCTGCTATAACACCGCTGTGTCCAGAATACTGAGCAAGTGTTTTTGTAAGAATCTTTATAATACAGTTTCCCTGCCCCCGGGCTCGAGACCCTGGCTTGTTCTTTGAAAACATGATAAAAGAGAGACTGAGCTGGATTAAAATCTGGGTTCCATTATTTATAAATGTGTGACCTTGGACAAGTCACTGAATCTCTCCAAACCTGTTATTCTTGTGTTAGAATAGGGATAATTAACACCACCTTAAAAGGTGGCTGTTACCACCAATGAAAATTAGATAAGATCTGCAAAAGCACTAGCACAGTGCTTGGCATGTTGTAGACAATAATTTTGGAGGGAGGAGGGAGCTGATTCTGTTTCTTCATGTTCATATGTTCATTACTGACCTTAGATCCTGCCTCTCCACACTCCTCAACTTATCTTTCAAAGAGATGAAATCATGCATATTTGCATGAAATTATTTCAAACCATCTCTATTGGCCATTTACCATGAAACCTACCTGAATTTTTTCATTGGAGATTGTTTTTCTTGAGCAGTGGCCAGATGACCAGAATAATAGACTGGGAAAAACATAATGTTCCAGTTTGTTGAAAACCAAGTCATGAAAAATGGACAGTAGAAGTTCTTGTAAGTAATTTTTACAATCTGTGTGGTTCCAACCCAAGATGATGACACTGACAAGATGATCAAAAGTCCCCAGACAGCCTTCAGAACCATGGACATGCAGGACAGGCAGCGAGCCTTGATTCTGTTTTCTTGGCTGCTGTTCTCAGGATGAGTCTGTGCTCCATCATCCCCTGCAAACAGGAAAGGAATACAAATGTGTGGAAATCAAGTTATAAAACAGAAATGAAAGAGACAGACAGTAGAATCACCAGTGTTTTGTTTTCCCTACTATGGTCTGAAGAGACAACTAACACTGGCTCATTTTCTGTCTGGAATCTCTGCTCTGTAAGGTATATTGTGTATCTGGGACCCTTATCCAGGCCATGATGATGCTGATGAAGTTGGTGATGCTCTCTGTTCTCAGAGGAACCCTACCCACCTCCTTGTGAGAGCATTTCAGCTTCAAAGGCTTTGGCCTTGGCCACATGATCTGCTTTGTCTAATCTAACATGGACAGATGGTGTGCTCACTATCTGCGGTATGGTGTGCCACCTCTCAGTAGAACCTTTAAGAGGCTCCACACGGCCCTACTACCTATCTAGCTCTTCCTTTCTGCCACGAGAATGGAAAATCTCAAATAGAAGCTGTGCCTTTGGTCTTTGTGGGAGAATGAGCAGGACCTAGTCAGAACCTTGTATTTACCAACATAAAAAGTGAATGAGAAATAAGTATTTATTTGTTATTTCCCACTGAGTTTTTTTTTTTTAAACTGCAGCAAAGATTACTAATAAATTGAAAAGGATGTGCCCCCAAACAGAGCAAGTCTGGACTGCACAAAATCACCTCCTGCCTCAGAACAAATTACTGTTTAATATATTTCTGGGAGCACAGTGAGTTCTGCTTTATATTTTTACATTTACTAAGAAAATTTAGTAGCATTTTTTTTCACATTGAAATAGCCGAAGTTCTCCAAAAGTGACAATCATAAAGGCCTTCTCCCTAAGACCGAAAACAAGTTCAACACAATGAATTTATATATCTATCAGGACGTTAAATGAGAGCAGTGGTCATCCTGAGTCCCCAGATGGTAGAATCCGGGGAAAGGTAGACAGAATTGTCTGTAAGACTCCATGGTGTTTCCAGGGACCTCCTCTAAGCATAAGGTTTATCCTGGGCTTACGGAAGTGGTACAGCCCACAGACTGCAAGTGATAGTGGATGGCTTTCTCACATTCCTCTTCAGAACCTGCCGGCTCTCTGCTGAATGTTTCCACTGCTTAATGGCCCAGGTGTGACTGCCCCGCTGTGGCAAAGGCTTTCATCCAGCCATTTATTTGGGGAAAGCAGATAGCAAGCCTTGAAAGTGAATTTTTCATTGGAGAGTATAAACCAAGCAGGATAAACAGGCAATTATTACATGACTTCCAAGTCTTATAAACAGAATTCTCAGAGCCTAGTCTCCGGAAGAGGAAAACTGGTATTCTTTTATTTATTTATTCAACAAAGTCCTGTGGAGACTACAGGAGCTGGCTAAATAGGTCCCAGGGGTTCAAAAATGAAAGACTTGAGCTCATAATCTAGAGGAAGGTCAGGAAACACATTTAAAACAGTGTGAGAAGGGCCGAGTATGGCAGATACAAGGCCATGTGGAGGCAGACAAGCAGCACTTGTTAAGAGGTGAGGTGTGTAGTGACCAGGAGAAACTGCTGTGATGCAGTAACACTGAGATGAGACTGAAAGTATGCTAACCAGCATGCTTGGCTGTGTACAGACTATACCTGATAACATTCTTCATATTCGCTATGTCCATGTGGCTTATACAGAGAGTAGAGGGGAGAAAACAAAAATGAATAACAGGGCAGAACAAGAGCTCTTGTGTTGGAAGGCTGGGAAGGGAACACAAGCCTACCCAATTAAGTGGGTATTACCATTCCCACTTTACAGATGAAAAATCTGTAAGCTGTATTAAGACTTGCATTAAAGGTTGCATTCAAGGTTGAGCCCAAGTCAGTATGACTCCAGGGTCTAAACTTTTTATTCTGAATATTCATTCTGTCTAGGTTTCAGGCTTGAGCTCCCCATTTAAGCACTGGAAGCTTCAGAAATGGGTTGGAGAAAAGTTTCCTGGCAGGAATGGCAGCCTTGCATGAGGTTTAATAGAAGAGAAAGGTATACTACACTTCAGGTCACACTATTCTAAGGGACTAGCTCATAAAGGAGGAATGATTCTACAAAGATTATTTGTATCCCTTTGATATCTGCCTTTACTGTCACCTTTGAAGATGACATCTGTACCACTGTCAGAGCATATAGAGTACTTTTGATGACACCAGTAGTCACCTAAATCCTCCCATAGTATTGGCTCATTCTTCTGCAAACTAGATTGAATTGTTGACAATTCTTTAATCTTACTATCTGTAGATACCACAGAAAGATTGACTCTCCTGGGTTCTTTTATTTTTCTGATCATTTAAATGTGATTTTCTGTAGTCCTGCTTAGATTTATTGTTTTGTATACATCATTAAAATTGATTTACCAGTAATTCCATCCCTCTCTATGAACCTTGATTAGAATCACACAGATTGATGGTAGAGGCCACTGGAATTTGAAAGCATGAGTGGAAGTCCTAGCCCTGCCACCAGAAGGCCCTGACTATATATTTAACTCTGGTCTTAGCATCTCTGTCAAACACCAACAATACTTAGCTCATGGGATTCATTTTGAGGTTAAATACCATAACATTCATGAGAGCATGGCAAGCTGCTCTTTAGATTCTCTGGTTTCTTCTTCTTTTTGGTGTCTAGGAATATCCTCAAGTGTCTTCCAAATCGTTGCAGAAAGAGTAAATTATGCCACATGTGGTCTTCAATGATACAGTCTTTGAGATTTGTAATTGGTATATGATAGATAGGGCAAATTTATTAACCATATTTAATTAACTGCAACATTCTTTTCTGCAGATAACTGAGATAATAAGAATACTACTGCAACTAATTAAAGCCAATTAAAACTTTCTGAAGATTTACAATGTCATTTTCTTCACTTTTTACAAAAGAGTTTTGGCCTTGGGGTCCATAGTTGCTGAGATTCCATTTTAAAATATTGTCATTTGGGGGGAAAAAATCTTTTCTCATAAAAACCTCTAATCAAATAAGTAGGTCCCTAGACCTACTTTCACATCTCCTCTATACCTTCATTTACCTGGGTCCCCTGAATTATTTCTCTTCTGCTAATTTTTTAAAGCTAGTGTTCTCAAAGTTATGAGGTTTTTTTTTTATTATTTTTTCCCACTGCCCACTTCTTTTGGATAGAGTTATTTTGTTGTTTTTGCTGGTGTCACTATTGACTTTAAGGATGCAAGAGATTTTACTATATTGCTGCAAAGCTGAAGGAATAAATGGAGAAGGGGAGATTGAAAATGTAGGTGGAAGAGATGGAGAGGAGGTAATCATGGATGTAGGAGGACTTAGCATCAGAATGGTTGCAAACACAGAAGTCAAAAGTGGTCCCTGCAATGATGATAGTGAAAGTCTCTCAGTCAAGTCTGACTTTTTGCGACCCCGTGGACTGTAGCCTGATGGCTCCCTCTGTCCATGGAATTCTCCAGGCAACGATACTGGAGTGGATAGCCGTTCCCTTCTCCAGGGGATCTTCCCAACCTAGGGATTGAACCCAGGTTTCCCGTATTGCAGGTGGATTCTTTACCATCTGAGCCACCAGGGAAGCCCCTGCAATGATGATAATTAGCAAATTAGCAAGCAAGAGAACAGAGACACTTTGAGGCAGGGAAGAAAGCATCTGTTAGCACACAACTGTTTCGATCTTTTTAGGAAGGTAAAAGTGTGGTCATATGATGAGAGGAAGTGAATATGGACTCGAAGCTTGAGATTATCTCTGGGGAAGGCAGTATGATGTCCATCACCAAATGTAACAGTACTGGGCAGCAGCCTAGTGGACCCAGCTGCATTTTTTTTTTTCATGTGACTTGCTTTATTGCCATATTTGTTTTACCACAAGAGTCTAAAAACAAACCCACAGTATCTCCGAGGTCTGTCTGTATACTGTACTTAACTATCTTTGCTTCTTTCCCACCCATTCTTCCTCAACTGCTACATTTTGGCTTTTGCCCCATGACTCTGTTGAATTTTTTCTTGCTGGATAATAACAAATAATCTCCTCTTTTTGAAGTTCAATGGATACTTTTTCACTACTTACTTTAGATGAAATAACAACCTCATATTTCACTAACCTCTCCTTTTCAGTTTATTTTGCTGAGTCCTGTTCTTCATCCTCTTCTGGTCACTTTAGAGTTTTCCAGAGTTCTGTCTCTTTAGCTCTCTCTTCTGTCCTCCTTCTTCATCCTTTAAGGATTTTATGCATACTCTTGCATTGCAGGCAGATTCTTTACCATCTGAACCACTAGGGAAGTCCCATGCATGTTCCAGCTACGTTTTAAAATGATACATTCACTGGGAAACCCATGGATATAGTTAAGAGATTTATCTAGTGATTCCAGTAACCCAAGTATTCCAGGGGTTGGTCAGGCAGATGTGAGAAAGGTTAAAGGTCTTGATTTAATAGTAAATGCTGATCAGGGAGGCAACTGAATTGTCCTGAAGGAGGTATAAAATTGGGAAAACTAGAAGGGCTCCAAGGACTGGCAGTCCTAATAAAGATAAGAGCAGAGTCTGTGATTTTACTGGTGCTTTTATTCTTCTCAGAATGGGTACAGCTTGCTATTACTAAATCCCAGGACTGCTGGCTTTTGCCATCTTGAAGATAAGAAAAATAGTTTCCTTATGAACTGCATTAGAAGTCATTGTTTAACCATGTGTTAAGCCCTCCAACTATAGGTTTTGGTATTATTTCTCTGCTACACTGTACACTGTCCATCATTCATGGATTATATCTATACATTTCTCTTCTTCCTTCTCCTTCCACTTGATAAACTCTGCTCACATGTACTCCTAAGAGTCAGTGTCACATCTCTACATTCTGTGCCAATGGTGAGATCTTTCATTGCTGGCCAGAAGCTCACCACATGTACTGTTATTTAAGAGGCAGCCACTCACATACCTGATCTGTTTTGCCTCTCAGCTCTGTGTCCACAAACTCCAGAGGATCCTCGACTCTGAAGTTCAAGAATAGGAGCAGAGGAATCTTCTGTGACAGAGAGAGGGGACAGTTGTCTGCTGATGCTACTGTGTGAACTGGGGCAGTTGGCTCCAGGTTTACATCGAGTAACTGATGATCTGGAGGTACCTGGGAAGAAAGAGATCAGTTTGAAAATTTCCTGGAGGAAAAACATATTTAAATGTCATGGCAGTAAAATATATGGAACATTCATTGAGTTCGTTTCTAATTTTACAAAAGGGGCTCCTAAAAAGAAAATGCTATGTTGGTAAAGTCTGTTCCCTAAGATAAAGGGTCTTTTTAGATAAATCCATTAACTAAATGAACATTAGAAAATGGTGTTTGGGTTGATTTATCTGTTCTGAATTAGCACTGTTCTTACAGTAGAATAGTTTACTTCAGGGAAAGCAAAATGGTGTGATTTCTTCTCCCTTTTCTTCCTGAGGTCTGTTGAATTCCTAACTGGTAAAACTGCCAACTAGCTCTCCTATTAAATCTTCTATACACTCTTCCATCAGTTTGATCACTAAAATCCAACTTCGTTGTATCTCCTCTGTCCTGGCTAGGAGATTTATTCAATATGTTGAATAAAAGTAGTGAGAGTGGAATGCTTTCAACTTTTTTTCACTGTTGAGAATGATGTTAGCTGTAGGTCTGTCATATATGCCCTTTCTTATGTTGAGATAAACTCACTCTATTCCCACTTTCTGGAGAGTTTTTAATGAAAAATGGAAGTTGAATTTTGTCAGAAGTGTTTTCTGCATCATATGATTTTTATTCTTCAATTTGTTAAAGTGTATCACACTGATTGCTTAGCAGATAATGAAAAGCCCTTGCATCTCTGGGATAAATTCCATTTGATCATGATATATTATCTTTTGATGTATCTTTGGATTTGGTTTGCTAATATTTTGTTGAGGACTTTTGCATCTACATTTTTGCATCAGTGATATTGGCCTGAAGTTTTCTTTCTTGTGTGATATCTTTGTCTGGTTTTGGTATCAGGGTGATGGTGGCACCATAGAATGAGTTTCAAAGTGTTCCTCCTGCTGCAATTTTTTTTTTTTAGTAATTTAAGAAAGATAGGTATTAATTCTTCTCTAAATGTTTGGTACAGTTCACCTGTGAAGGCCATTTGCTCCTGGACTTTTGTTTACTGGGAGTTTTTTTCTTTTTCTTTTCTTTACTACTGATTCAATTTCATCACTGATAATTATCTGTTTGTATTTTGTATGTCTTCCTGGTTCAGACTTGGAAAATAGTAGATAATTAGGAATTTCTTCTAGGCTGTCAATTTTATTTGCATATAGCTGCCCTTAGGAGTCTCTCACGATCCTTTGTATTTCTGTGGTGTTGGATGTAACTTCTCCTTTTTCATTTCTGAAATTACTGATTTGGACCCTCTCTTTTTCATGATAAGTCTGGCTAAAGTTTTATCAACTTTGTTTATCTTTTCAAAGAAACTGCTCTTAGTTTTGCTCATTTTTTTCTATTTTTTCTATTTCATTTATTTCTGTTCTGATCTTTATCATTTATTTCCTTCTACTAATGGGTTTTGTTTGTTCTTTGCTTTCTAGTTCCATCTGGTCCAATGTGTCACTTCAAGCTAGTGTTTCTTTGTTAATTTTCTGTCTGAATGATCTGTCCATTGATGTAAGTGGGGTGTTCAAGCCCTTTATTAGTATTACATTACTGTTGATATTTCCATTTGTGTCTGTTAATATTTGCTTTTGTGTATTTAGGTGCTCCTATGTTGGGTGCATGTGTATTTATAATTGCTGGATCTTCTTAGATTGATCCCTTGATCATTATGTAATGTCCTTTTTTTGTCTCTTGTAACAGTCTGTATTTTAACTATTTTAAGTCTATTTTATCTGATGTAAGTAGTGTGACCCTGGCTTTCTTTTGATTTCCATTAGCATAGAATACCTTTTTCTATTTCTCACTTTTAGTCTGTATGTGTCTTTGGATATGAAGTAAGTCTACTGCAGGCCTTGTTTTTGGATCCCTTCAGACTTTTTTGTTTTAGTAATACTTTTAAAAATTGAAATAAAGTTTATTTAAAATGTCATGTCAATGTGTGCTGTACAACAAACTAAGTTATACACATATATACACTTTTTAAAAATATTCTCTTCCATTATGGTTTATCCTAGGAGACTGGGTATAGTTCCCTGTGCTATACAGTAGGAACATGTTGCTTATCCATTCTAAATATAAGAGTTTGCATCTACCAATCCCAAACTCCCAGTCCATCTCTCCCTCCACCCCTCCCCCTAGGCAACCATAGGTCTGATCTCTATGTCTGTGGGTCTGTTTCTGTCTTGTAGATAGGTTCATTTGTGTCAGATTTTAGATTCCTCATATAAGTGATATCATATGGTATTTGTCTTTCTCTGACTTACTTTACTTAGTATGATAATCTCTAGTCACATCTATGTTGATGCAAATGGCATTATCTTGGTTTTTTTTTTTTTAATGGATGAAGTAGTATTCCATTGTATATATGTATCACTTCTTTATCTGTTCATTTGTTGATGGACATTTAGGTTGTCTCCATATTTTGGCTATGAACACAGGGGTGCATGTATCTTTTTAAATTAGTTTTCTCTGAATATATGCCCAGGAGTAGGATTTCTGGATCATTAGTTCAGTTCAGTTCAGATGCTCAGTCATGTCTGACTCTTTGCGACCCCATGAATCGCAGCACGCCAGGCCTCCCTGTCCATCACCAACTCCCGGAGTTTACTCAAACTCATGTCCATTGAGTCGGTGATGCCATCCAACCATCTCATCCTCTGTCGTCCCCTTCTCCTCCTGCCCCCAATCCCTCCCAGCATTGGGGTCTTTTCCAATGAGTCAACTCTTTGCATGAGGTGGCCAAAGTACTGGAGTTTCAGCTTCAACATCAGTCCTTCCAGTGAACACCCAGGACTGATCTTTAGGATGGACTGGCTGGATCTCCTTGCAGTCCAAGGGACTCTCAAGAGTCTTCTCCAACACCATAGTTCAAAAGCATCAATTTTTCGGCGCTCAGCTTTCTTCACAATCCAACTCTCACATCCATACATGACCACTGGAAAAACCATAGCCTTGACCAGACGGACCTTTGTTGGCAAAGTAATGTCTCTGCTTTTTAATATGCTATCTAGGTTGGTCATAACTTTCCTTCCAAGGAGTGAGTGTCTTTTAATTTCATGGCTGTAATCGCCACCTGCAATCATACAGTATTTCTAATTTTAGTTTTCTGAGGAACATTCATACTGTTTTCTACAGTGGCTGCACCAACTTACGTTCCCATCAACGGTGTAGGAGGGTTCCGTTTTCTCCACACCCCCTCCAGCATTTGTTATTTTTAATGATGACTTTTTAATGATGGCCATTCTTACTGGTGTGAGGTGGTACTTCATTTTACTTTTGATTTGCATTTCTCTAATACTTAGTAATGTTGAGCATCTTTTCACCTGCCTAAGGTCCATCTATATTTCATCTTTGGAGAAATGTCTGTTAAGGCCTTCAGCCCATTTTTTTATTGGGTTGTTTGTTTTGTTGTTGTTGTTATTGAGTTGTATGAGCTGTTTGTATATTTCGAGGAGTAAGCCCTTATCTGTCACATCATTTGTGATTATTTTCTCCCTTTCTGCAGGTTGTCTTTTTTTTTTTCTTTTAAATGATTTCCTTTGCTGTGAAAACACTTGTAAGTTTGATTAGGTACCATTTGTTTATTTTTGTATTTTTTTTCCTATTGCCTTGGGAGGCTGACCTAAGAAAACACTGGTTCGACTTATGTCAGAGAATGTTTTACCTATGCTCTCTCCTAGGAGTTTTGAGGTGTCATATCTTATACTTAAGTTTTTAAGCCATTTTGAGTTTATTTTTAGACTCAAAAATGTATGGTGTGAGGATGTGTTCTAACTTCATTGGTTTACATGGAGATGTCCAACTTTCCCAGCACCACTTGCTGAAGAGATTGTCATTTTCCCACTTTTATATTTTTACCTCCTTTGCTGAAAAGTCATTGATCATAGGTGTGTGGATTTATTTCTGGCTTTTCTATTCTGTTCTATTGATCCATATGTATGTTTCTGTGTCAATATCACAGTTTTGATTACTGTAGCTTTGTAGTATTCTCTAAAGTCTGGGAGGGTTATGCCTCCTGCTTTGTTTTAGCTTTTTTGTTTTGTTTTTTCCTCAGGATTGCTTTGGCAATTCTGGTCTTTTATAGATCTATAAGTTTTTGGAGAATCCCATGGACAGGGAGACTGGTGGGCTATAGTCCACAGGGTCGCAAAGAGGGGTATGACTTAGCAGGCATCTACATAAATTTTTGGATTATTTGTTCTAGTTCTGTAAAAAAATGTCATGTGTAATTTGATAGGGATTGCATTAAATCTCTAGATTGTTTTGGGTAGTATTGCCATTTTAGCCATATTAATTCTTCCAATCCAAGAGTATGAGATATCTTTCCATTTCTTTGAATCTTCTTTAATTCCCTTTATTAATGTTTTATAGTTCTCAGGATATGTCTCTCAAATCCTCGGTTAGGTTTTTGGGGTTTTTCTTTTGGTGCAATTTTAAGAGGGACTGTTTTTTTTGTTGTTGTTTGTTTTTTGGTTTCTTTTTTTACATTCCTTTTCTGATATTTCATTGTTAGTGTAAAGAAATGCAACTGATTTCTGAATGTTAACCTTGTATCCTGCTATTTGCTGAATTCATTTAATTAGACTTAGTAGTTTTTTTGTGGAGTCCTTTGGGTTTTATAGGGGCTTCCTGGGTGGCTCAGATGGTAAAGAAAGTGCTTGCAATGTGGGAGACCTGTGTTTGATCCCTGGGTTGGGAAGATCCCCTGGTAGAGCTCATGTCAACCCACTCCAGTATTCTTGCCTAGAGAATCCCAGACAGAGGTGTCTGGCAGGTCCATGGGGTTGCAGAGTTGGACACAACTGAGTGACTGAGCACTAGGGTTTTCTATATATAGTATCAGGTCATCTGCATACAGTGACAATTTTACCTCTTCCTTATGATTTGGATACCTTTTGTTTTTCTTGTTTGACTCATGTGGCTAGGACTTCCAATACGATGTTGAATAGATGTGATGAGACTGGGCATCCTTGTCTTTAGTGTGAAGG